GGAGGAAAAATAGGAAGAAGGGAAACAAGGACAGAGAACGAAAAAATGAACCGATTTGAAGGATCACTCGAACGTTCGAACGATACGAATCTCGATTCTCGAGTGGGGTAAATCGATTGCGCGTCTCTGCCAAACGTCGAATTCCTAATAGGGTATGAATTCTACTCCGTTTTGCTTCTTAGCAACGTCGAAGAGAAAAAACCGGGCTTCCTGAACGCTCGTCGGGCCCCTGAAAGAGGAAACAAGCGAGCAAAAGAATCCGTTACATTTCTAGCCGAGCATGAACTGGGAAACATTAACAGACGGAATGAAAATGGGATGTCAGGGAGCAAGGGTGAAAAGGACTGTTCCTCTATTATGTCCAAAGTCACGCGATCGTATTTCGAAAAGATTTGCAGAAAAAAAAAAGGAAGAAAAATGGAAAAGTTTCGTTTCGAGATATATTTCGAGTGGAAAAGGTCGAAAATCGTTTGGAATTTCATTGGATCGTTCAAAATTTAATTTAATTCGCGATACGAGGGTGCGTCGAGTAACGATCTCGACAGCATTTCCCGTTACGCCGAAGTCCCATCGAAATAATCCGCGCATTAATTGTAGGAAAACGATAGGGGCAGCTTTTCGAATTCTATTATTCAGGATAGAAACTCAGCCTTGACTCGAGTACTTCGAGCGAATCCGCTTACGACTCTGCCGGCAACGATCAGCGTGTCGTAATTTAATTTCGAATTTAAGTACAAAGATCGTTAATTATCCGAACTTTAAGCCGCCCTCCGATAATATATCGGAATTAGTTTATCAATCCGACTCATCGCACTCTCCTACCACGCGAAATTAAATTCAAATAGTTCAAACGCGGCCAAAATAATCCTGCTTCTTTCATACTCATCGCGATTCGTTCAATCGAGTGTAGCTTTATCTCTGGATCATCGTCGTCTAATATCGAGGATATCGACATGTTATCGAAACTCGTTCGCGTACGTATGTCCGATAGTTATTAGAATTTCGAGCGCTTTGCTCGAAAATCCCAACCCGGAAGGATCGCGTGTGCACCAGCGGGTAAGAAAATTGAAATTTTCTTCGGCGATCTATTCCGTGCACGGGGTTGCGATACACAGAATGGATTCACGGTAAACGTCACGAGAAACCGAGTATAGATCGAGCGGGATCGAAAGCTAAGGCACAAATACTCGGGATCCAAGACGCCAATTGCGGAACGCTACTCCCCAGAGGGTCGCGTGGAGCAATCAGGCTAATATATGCCGATGGAAGCGTACTTCCGTTGCTAAATTCGCGTCCGACCGTCCAAACGTGCAACCGGGGAGAGGAGTAAAAATCCGTCGAACGCGGAAAAATAAAATAAATAAAATAAAGCGAATAATCATCCCCGATCGTTTTCGTATAAATGAAATTGGCGAGAAATTTTCGCGAAGCATTTGGCAGCAGCGTCTAAATAGAATATTCCTCTAATCGGATAGGAGCGAGGAAAAAATAAAATAGGTCCGCCGCTGAAACCTTGCGAGAGAGAATTCCTAATGGATCTATACATAAAACAAGGCAAACTAATTTCCATGGGATTTTATTTAATCCAACTTTCGTTGCTGTAAATATTCGCGATGCACGGGATTACACGAACCAGAACCTCGATGAAATACGATCTCGCGTTTGAAGCAATAAACAGGAATAAAATCGTGGAATATTTGCACGCGTCGTGGATTGACACGTCGAGAAACGCGGCAGCCGATCGATCCTCCGTGTCGATCGTATAACGATCGACGAGACGATTTAACGCTGCCGGGAACCATAAGGGATTCGGCCGAAACGAAAAGACATACGTCGTAAGAATGCCTCCTTTCCCTGGTTCCTCCGCCATTACCTACACGACCAGGTTTTACCTACAACCCTTTTCATCCACGGTTCAGCCCCTTCCTTTTACCTCGGGGAGTGATAGCTTTCGAAACGTTACATTATACACCGGCAACTCCTTTCGTTGGTACGTCGGTTCATCTTTGTCTCCCTTGGCTGTCGAATAAAGAGAACGCGAGCGGAAGAAGGGGTAAGGAAACCGAGGAAGAAAAGGAAAAGAAGGAGAAGAAAGAAACGGCGAGGGCAAAGAGAAGGTTCAGGATGAAAGGGCACGAAGAAAAGGGCAGAAAAAAGGCAAGGAAGAGGATAGGAAAAAGGAAAAGGTAAGGAAAACATGACCGAAGAAGCGGAGTATATATATAATGTATTATCTACATGCGACGAGCTTTATGAGCTTCAGCCCTCTTACGTCCAGGTTTTCCGGCGTGTTTTCCTCGTCTTCTTAAAAGTAAACCATAATCTAGCCACTCGTACTCGCGCCTTTGCAAGTATCAGACTCACCCCTTCCTGTTGGCTATCGAGACGTACCCGGGGATTTTCGAGATAATCTCATTGCGGTGCTTTCCGGTATTCGAAATGCTCGCGAGGTAATCACAGTGAGATATAAAATTCGATAATTCGAGTTAACGGGAAACGCTGTCCGAGTGGCGAGTTGTCATGGGATACGTATCTCGCGAGAACGCGTTGTACCGCCTCGTTTGATCTAGTACCTTAAGGCGAGTTCGGCAAACGTCGTAAAAGATGAAAAGTGCAGTTGAAGGAGACGAAGAGAGCGACACCGCTAAGCATAACCTTACGAAATTACACGGAACTTTCTGCGTAAAGCGAATAAAGGAAGTAGTAATTCGTGTACGACAGCGAAATAGCTTTTTCTCGGCAATAAAGACGCGGATAGATCCTTGGATCCTCGGTGAATCCCTGGGAACCGTGCGATCGGCCAAAGCCACTTGGCAATCGGCGAGCGAATTACGTCTTTCTTCCGGAAAATCGGCAAGGAGGAACGGTCGTTAGAAACCCATACGAAAATTGATCACGGGGATACACGGGGCAATTTGTCGCACCCCTTGCGAAAGAACATGGCGGCGGAAAGCCATCGATACCGATACTCTGTCAACGCGAGAAAATTCGAGACCCGAACCTCTTCCCGATTCGGCGTTTCGCGGTCCCGATAAGATCGCAGGTACGTTCGATAATAAGCACACCTGGTCAAATTCAATTATACGATTCCCGAGGGCAAGTAATCCAATTTGCGCGTCATCGAGTCACGCGGCGAAACTAGTTCGAAGAGCCAGGCATACAACCGACCACATGTATCAAATATTGAAGTTCCTAGATTGCGCTGGACTGCCCTTAGGGACACCAAATAACTGACAGGTCCTGAAAACCCTGGTCGAATTGCGGTTTGCAGTTAACCCTAATCTGCATCGGCAGACATAAGATTCGGAATTATCGTTGGAAACGGTGACGTTGGACTTTCGTAGGAACACCTGAACTAGCTTAATCTCACGTTTCACGATATTGTCCGATCCATATATTTGCACTTGGTCCAGTATCGAGCAGATTCTCCAAATTCCGCGATATCCTTTACAAAGTATACTCGGATCGGAATAAAACGCGTCCGCTACCGATTTAGCGCGTACTTGGCACGCGTCGCGTCACACCTTGACGTCTTTGTTCTATCTGCAATCGTCGTTCCCGGATTTCTGGCACATTTTCCTTCGAGACTCCTAGGAATTCGAAGATCGTTCTCGTTCGAGCTTATCGTCGGTCGAACGAGAAACTTTAAGTCCCTACGAACAACGTGCTCTTCGATACTTACGTCCAAATGATTCGCACTTTCGCGATCGTCGAAACGCACGCGTATGCAAACGTCTGTTTTCGTAATGTGCATTCTAACATACGCTTTGTTAACGATATACAAATACTTCTGGTTTCCAGACGCAATGTTATTTCAACCGTTCGCGTAAGGTCTCTGACAGCGGACAAATGTTTTTATTTGCGCAAATATGTCGAGCCTTTCTGGGTTGACATGTTAGTTTATCAAAGATGTTAACGTTGTTGTTTCTTCCCAACTTATTTGCAAGCAAAGCACACAGTCGCGAATGTTATCGTGCACCATCCACAGACACCTTTCGTTAATATTAATCCGAACGAATTCGAAAACTCGATCGTACAAATTCTTCCAGTACCCACGTTTACGCGCTAACGAAGTTCTAGAAACGGTAAGAGCTATACCGTGCGAATCGAGGGACGATAATAAGAGAGAACGCGATTGTTAAAGATAATCACGATATTCGCAACATCGGTGATTTATTTCGTAAAAGCTGGCATTTCGCAAACAAGCTGAAAACGGCCGAAGCGCGCAAGCTGACGCAAAAATGGGAATCTCGATTTAATAAAAGCCGGAAACATTTATTTCGTTCGTTAAATCCAAGAAGTTTCTAGACTACAATTTAATTACACCGCCATTCGGTCACGGTGCAATTTGTTATACCGATTAACGAGTGAACGTAAATATCGCGTTAAATTCGCGAATTCAATCTCGATTCCTATCAACGGAGCGAAAAATCACATTTTCATTGAAACAGGGGTATCGAGGTCGGAACGACGCGTACGAAAACATAATTCTGGAATAATTAGGGCTGTTCGCCGCACCTAGAGTTTCTCGTTGCGACTCTGCTTCGAGAATATGGACGAAAGTATACGTAGGCGTACCGAACTCGTGTCGATCGACGATTTATGGAAAGCTAGGTCGCACTTCTCCCGATAAACCACCATTCATCCATAATTGTTCTCATGGAACGATCACCGTCGTCAGAGATACGCTCTACTCGGCTTCGATACGCAAGTTTCCGCGATCGTTGCATACGGAATGCGATGTTCGCGGGGAAGCAAAAAAGTCGTATGAAATATTACACGCGGATACACGGAGGCTTCGGTATCTCTGATAGCGGGAGCATCGCGACGAATCATGCGTCACTGCTCAGATGTTGAGCGCCGAATATTTACGAGTGGCTACGATTCCGAAGGCATTGAGAAAAGAGGAAAATATAAATCAATTACAAGAACGGATTCGCAACAGTGACGAACGGGCTGAGCAGTCAGACACATTCCTGTTTATCTCGCTCGTTGTACAGATGAAGCTCAAGATAATAGAAACTTTCCTCCGCGTGTGGCCGCAGTGGGCCACCTGTCTGACAGGTCAGTGGGAATCTCTTTCTTTTCCGCGTGCGCGTTGCGTCATCGTTACGTTATTTTATAGTTAGATACGACATGAATCGAAGATTTTACCATAGTGTCCCTGATGTCTGTCAGTATGGGACTGATGATCGGTTGGACGTCGCCTTACGTCGCTCAGCTGACCCAAGAAGACTCGCTCTTGTACATATCGGACGAAGAGGCGTCATGGGTGGTCTCCCTGCTACCCCTTGGCCGCATATTCGGTGCCACCGCTGGTTCCCTCGCCATGGAATATTACGGTAGCAAAAGATCTCTGTTAACATCGGGAATTCCCATGATGCTCAGCTGGATCTGCATGATCTTCGCCGATACGGCTTTCTGGCTTTACGTGTCTAGAATCAGTGCGGGTAAATAGACATTCTTCCTTGCAGATTCGCGATTTCTCGTTCTAATTCGGCGAACGTCGAACGCTGACTGTCATTTCCGCAGGTTTCTCCTTTGGCATGTTCTACAGCTGCTTCGCCCTTTACATGGGCGAAATAGCAGCGGCAAACATTCGTGGCGCGCTGGTCAGTACCATAGTAAACGGGATGCCGCTTGGAACCTTGATCGGCAACATAATGGGCAGCCATGTGTCGATGATGTGCTTCGGACTCGTGAGTCTAGCTCTGACTATTTCCTTCATGACGATCTTCCCGTTGCTACCTCAGTCGCCGCATTATTACGTGCGGCACAACCACGCGATGGAGGCGAAGAAAACGATTCAGTGGTATCATCGGAAGTCGAACGTGAACGTGGAATTGGAAGTGATCGAGGATTTCGTCCGATGCTCCGCGTCCACCAGCATCCGTGACAAACTTTGCCAGATCACGGAGAAGAAGAACCGACGCGGCTTCTCCATAATCATTTTGCTGTTCATTTTCATGCAACTCAGCGGGCTAAACACTGTCATGTTCTACATGGAAATTATCGTCAGAAACGCGAAAGTAACGTCGTTGGAACCGGCCACCGTTGTGATCCTTTCCAGTGGAATCGGTACGCCATTTCTATATTCATCATTTTTCCTCGCGTCGAGAGTTTCGGTGTTTCTCGATCGAACGATATCCGTTTTCCCTGAATTCGAAGATCGAAATTCGGTGATTCGACCCGAGCGAGTTTTCATTTCGAGCAATCGTGGGAGCAGAGAGATATTCCGACTCGCCTCGAAACTGTGCATTTCTCCTGCGACACTTGGAGCATTTTAGAATGGGTACAACACGCGACATTCGTATTGCAGGTATAATGGTCGGCTGGATCAGCGTGTACCTGATCGATCGGTGCGGCAGAAGGGTTCTCATGGCGGTGTCATGCGGCTGCGTAATCATGGGAATGGTACTTCTGGGATTACACTTTATGCTATTGGACCAAAATTTCGATCCAAAGTGTCTGGAATGGCTGCCGATTGTGGCGATGATACTTTTCATGATGATGTCGATAGGTCTGGTGCCGGTGCCTAGTACCATACTCAGCGAACTTTTCCCAGACGATTTAAAGAGCATCGCCGGATTCACCGCCAGTATCACGTCCGCGTTATTCGCGTTCATTTGCAGCAGAACCTACCAGCCACTCGTCGATCTCATGTCGGAAAAATACGTTTTCTGGATGTACGCGATGGTCATGACTATATGCCTGGTGTACACGATCGCGGAGATACCGGAGACCAAAGGGAAGACCCTGCAGGTAACTTTCAACTTACTTTTTCGTCGCTTTGGTAGAAATTTCCATTCGGAATGCCGCGCAGACGATGGCAAAGAAATTCGATGAAAGTTCATTTTCTCGATAATATTCAAAGCGATACGCGAGATAATCCGGGAGTTGTTCATCGAAAGTTTGCTAACTCGGTTTTCACGGGAAATATCATTAGTCGCGACGAGAGAGTGTGGATAATGACAGAATGATGTAGTAGTTCGTTCGTATTACACGAGCAATGGGCGAATCAGTCACTGCTCGGTTTCCTCGTGACACGGTATTAAATAATCGATATATCGTTGACAGGAAATACAAGAGATGCTGGCCAGGGAGTGTGAAAAAGGAGAAAGAAGTTCGGAGATAACAAGGACGATACGATAGCGGATTGTATCGGAATAAAGCACGATGTAAAGAGTCGACGATCACAACCGTGAAAAATAAAACAACGCCTTTACCAACCTACGTGTTAATTAATTTGTTATAATATAATCCTAGTACAACCCTTAATAGAAAACGAACATGGCGGAGATACGCGTAATTTCGAGTACACTGGCCGCGAATAGGGTGAGTTTCGGTTTTACTCTAACCACCGGTAAATCGAGAGGAATTACGCGTGTCTTATCTTATCGTAGAAATCAGGTGAAAAAAATCCGTATTCCGCAAATAATCAGTTGAAAACATAATCCGTGAATAACACAGAGAATTACTGACTGATATTATAACGGAAAATTCGAAATTGCAAAAATACACGTATATAAGGTACAACTGGATTTCCGATCGATCAAACGGAAACATGGACGATTGTATACGCGAACGGATAATCATCGATCAGGTAGTTTCTTCGTTCCCCCAGAAATTTCTCGTATTGGCATGCTCTTCGACTCCAAAGTCGAAGCTAACGGAATCGACAATGACATCTCGAATTAGCGAATCTTTATCGAGGCTGATTACTCGCAAACCGAACTTGAGACCGTATCGTGTATCCCGTTTCGATTGGTTAAAATAGCGATTATGGGAATGGATCGGATGGGACGAAAATCCGTATCGGATCATTCATTCGCTCGAATATTTATTATCGCGACGATATCGATAAAACTGATTTCCGTAATCGCTCGTTTCGCTCAAAAATAAAATATCACGAATAATACAACCCGCTGTCTGAATTTGCCGTAGAATTATGAGCGTATTAAACAAGTGATGTCATTGCTGATAACAATAATGGTGCGAATACATATTCGTTACACGTAACAGAAACTATGTATCCTCCTCTGCATCCCACTCTAGAGCAACCGGTATATAAAGACTAGGCAGAAATTTCTATTTTTCTTGTATCAAATACTCGTGTCAATACTACCGGTGTGTATGTGTAATGCAAGCGTACATCGTGCGACGCTACCTACGATCAGACCTGGGACTGTCTCTGGTGCCTTAGAAGAGTAGAAGATTATAACAGCTCTTGGAACATCAGGTTTGTTATTACGACACACGCTGATACGGTTAAGAACCGTTCGCATTCGCAAGAACAATCGTTAGTAAAACGTGACGCTAGTTTACAAGAGATAAATTTCACTCCAGCAAGTTTCCCTGTTTACTTTTCCCGGCAACATAAAAATAGCACCGAGATTGGAGTCGTTAACGAACGATAATGCTCACCGGTGCACGCACGCGTTATCTTATCTCCATAACTATACATCATTGTACTATTTCCGAAAGCTATATAACTTTGATCGGACATTGCATATTTACCAGCTGCCTACCATAGTCCGAGAATCCACCATGCGGAGCGAGGAGCGAAATGAGAAGGTTGAGAAGAAGGTGCTCTGGCCCCAGTGGATCGCCGGTTTCGGAGGTAAGCCAATCAACGATTGACGGTACTTCAAGTCTATCCTTTCTACTTTGTTTCTCGCGTTCGATAAATGTTCGTAACGGTAACGGACAAAAGAGATATCGAGACACGTGGAAAAACGCGATTTCCAATTTCTTCCCAGTTTACCTATTGACCACGCAGCTAGGATTGATGTGCGGTTGGTCGTCTCCGCATGTACATCTGCTAACCGGGCCGAATGCTCCGTTCCCTGTCACAATGTCGGAGGTGTCCTGGGTGGTGTCGTTGCTCAACTACGGCAGATTTTTTGGTGCTATCGCGGGTGCTGTGAATATCAATTATTTCGGCAGCAAGGCAGCAGTGCTGATATCCGGCGTACCAGGCACGTTATGCTGGCTGTTCGTCATCGTGGCTAATAACGTAAACTGGCTCTACTCCTCGAGATTTTTCGGTGGCATCTGCGTAGGAATGACCTACAGTTGCTACTCCCTGTACGTAGGGGAAATAGCGGAACCAAGCATACGAGGTGCACTGGTGGCATTAGCTACCTGCGGAATACCCAGTGGTACCTTCTTAATGAGCGTCATGGGGGCCTATTTACCGATGCGAATATCAGCCGCGATATCCTTAGCTATTTGCATCGTGATGATAGGCATTTTCGTCTGGCTGCCGGAATCTCCTCATCACTTGATCAAGAAAAATTTGGAAGAAAAGGCCAAGTTGTCGATCCAGTGGTATCATCGGAACTCTGACGTGGAAACGGAATTCGTGGGGTTAAGGAGGTTCGTCGAGAATCTCAATAAACTAACGTTAAAGAGTGCCCTGGACGAACTGGTTCAGTACCGTAAGCCGTTATTTATAATCTCGTGCTTGATCATATACAGTCAATGGTGCGGGATCAATACCGTTCTCTTTTACATGGAGACGATATTAACGTCCGCGAAAGTCAGTGTAATACCTCCAGCGACAGTGGTGATAATAGTGATGCCGTGTGGTATGGTCGCGTCGTGTTTATCCATGGTTCTGATGGACAGGTACGGAAGGAAACCTTTGATGATCGCGTCTTGCATCGGCATCACGATCTCTTTCGTTATGCTAACCGTCGAGTTTCACTTATTGGGTCTCGGTTACAATTCGAAATCGGTGGAAGGAGTGTCATTCGCCGCGATGATCTTGTTCTACATGTCCGTCTCGTTAGGAGCAATTCTCGTTCCGCAAACGGTGCTAGGCGAAGTCTTTGCTCCTCACCTGAAATGGCTCGCGGCGTGCATAATCAGCTCCATAGCCGCGATTGCAGCTATCGTTTCTGCTTCCACTTATTTACCCCTGCTGAATGCCATGACCGAGCGATACCTGTTTCTATTCTTCGGCGTGATAATAGCCACGGCTGTACCGTTCACGATATTTTGCGTACCTGAGACGAAAGGATTGTCTTTGCAGGAGATTCAGAAGAAATTCGGCGGCAAAAGCACACCTCGAGTTACGTCCGTGTACATGGAAACTGATAAACTTTCTCGCGGAAAGATTGCCGGTCCGTTTATAATCTTACCCAGCGATTAAGATATCGCGTTAACGTAGGAATAATTCGAACACTCGATTTGAAATTTAATCACGCGAAGCGCGATGCGTCGTGAATTAAATGTAATTATCGACTGTGTAACATCGATATCGATGAAGCGAAATTCGGGAATTGTTACTCGGTAACTAGATCTCACGCGGAACTCGCTTTCTCGGAAATTGTGTGTCGGTCCAACAGATATTTCGTTGGAACCGATGAAAGCGCATCTCGAAGAATTTTCTAGTAAATCCAGGAACGACGAAGGCTCGGATAATAGAAGAAAAGGTCGCGATGCCTGTTGTTCTTTTGCCTCCCATTCTTCCTTTAACCGAGAAACGATGTAGCTATTTCTCTTTGGGGCGGACATACGCCGCCGTAACGTCGACCATGGAACTCGGCCAGTTTCATATTTTACAAGACGATATTTCAGTCGCGCTGGCTACGCCAACAACGTTAAAGGTGCCACGGTCCCATGGTGGCACTGCTGAAAATTGGACGCTGCCTTATCTTGCCCGGGTCATTGCACGATGACACCCCTTAATGACCTTATAAACGCCAAGGTATCGATGAGAGTTTACGATACGATTTCTCTTTTTTACCACGTTACGACCATGCACATATCACCAACGAGATATCCTAATTGATATCGAAGCTTCTCGGAAGCTTTCGAACGAAGAGAATCACGCGTGTTCGACCGGTTATCGAATCGAGGAGATGAAACGGAAGCAGGTGCGATACACCGCGCGGATATAACAATCACGCGATCGTCGTAGAGTGCCGAATTATCAGCAGAGATGTCGCGATTAGTCCAATCGATATCATCGACGATAAAAATTCTCGGCGACTAATGGGCGAGACGTTTCGTTGTCAAAGCTAATTATAAATAGCCACGTCCGCCGAATCGCTGTCTATTTTCGGCGACAACGATTCAACCCAAGGCTTAAAGAAGTCGGAAGAACGAAGAGGATAATTAAAGCAGGCGATAGCGAAAAAATGATTCGTCGTAGCGTAATAACGATACGCCGTGTTATATTTCCGTGACGACGAATCGAACGTCAACGCGGCGAATTAATTACTTAAACGTCACCGTTATTTCATAATAAATGTTTCACGTATCGGGCACACATCCGCTGCTCCTCCGAGCGTACGCGGCCGGTTATCATTTTAAATTCATTACCGTGCAACCCAATTGCGTTCGGAGAGCTGCATGAACCAATAACTCTTTGCTCCATCCACGGCGGGATAATGGTCACACGGTCGACTTTACCCTCTGACATGCGCTATTGCCGTTAAGTTATAGCACCTAGCGCGATTCGAATTTACGGTAAGCCGATTTCCGGCCGAGTTCTCGAATAAAAGATTATGCGAATTATCGTAATTAATACCGTGTTCATTTCGAGATCGGAAAGATGCATCGAGCTTCTAACGACCCCGAGCACCACTGTCTGCCCGATTCATGAAATATTCATAAATATTCACTTTTTCTTTCGCTTATCCTCCCAACGACTGTCATCTCGATCTTTCTCCGTTTCTCCATCCTCTTCCTTTTATTCGCCCAGTCGAAACGCTCGTTACAGTTTAGTGGATGTAAAAAGAAAAGACACACCGTAAAAGAGGCGATTACCGCGCGTAGCTGAAGCGAAATATTCAGAGGGATGATAGTCGGATGCTGAATACGCGCGACTGGGAAATAAAATGTCGGCACACTGACTCCGTAACCCTCGATGACGTATCCTTTTTGTTCCGAGATTATATCGCCGCGAGAGTCAAAAATCGGATTCGAATAAGGTACTTAACCTTCAAATTATGGTTACAAATTATGATAAACTTTGGCGAACTTGACGAACGCGTATGTAGGAATGCTAGGGGTTTGATAGTGAATACGAGGAAACATTTGGGCCTACCTAGCTGATGATGGACGATAAACAGCACCCTGGAATTTAGGCCGAATGTTGAGGGTGACGCCTGGAGTGTCCATGGAAGGACGAGTAACCGCGTGCAAGGATATTTATGGCTGTATCGAGTGCGAACAAGGAGCGAAAGTTAGGAATGCGTCTGAATGTTTGGAGTACCTGGCCTTCGATGGACCAAGTACTTCTTCGCGAGGAAGACAAGCGAACGAGAAAGAAAGCATGCGTAGGAGAGAATAGGTTTAACCTTTTGCAATCGAGAGGCGACCCTCAGTCGCCATTTAATCAGATTCTAAAGATCGATGTTAATTAATATATCAAATTTAAAATTACCCAACGATGCGTGGAATATCGAAATAAAATAATTCTACGTCTTAATTTATATACGATTTCTTATTTCCCGTTTTAAAAATATCGTCGACTTTATGGCAGAAAGTCTTCGAATTACTACTTTTCTGTAACGAAAAAATCGCCGAGTGCAAAGGGTTAAGTAAAAGTGTAAGGACTGTCTTAAGACAGTCTCGAAGAAGAGTCGATGCGAAGGTGCTACTTGCCTGATCATATCAGTTATTAGTCTAGTCTTTTAGTTTATACCTTACTCCTAAGTCTCTTTTAGCTCGTAATAAATATATACTGGAATAAACCAACATCTTTTATTTCTTACATTTGCCAATCAAAAGTATCCCTGCATGGACATCGATGGTCCGATGAAGCAGAAGTTAACAAAGTACAGGTAGCCCTCCTACAACACGGCATCCGGTAACACGGTTTCGCTATAACACGATTCCTAAATTGCGGAAACCCCCTTACAACACGGTATCCTATAACACGGTTTCGCTCTAACGCGATAAGAAAATTGCAAAAACCTTTGTACAACACTGTTCTTCTACATGAGCAGTGACGACGAAGAAATTTATTAAATTAAAGTCGCGTTAAATCAAAATAATATCTTTGCTTTTCTTTTCTTTTGTGTCGTACATACGTTTATATTTCTAATAAAAATTAAGTTGTTTATGTAGAATTAAAATAAAATTTGTTTTTAATAAGTTCTCGAAACGTAACCTTTTTGTACTGACTCTGAGTCTCATACAACACGGTTTCACTCAACACGGCATTTTCTAGGAACCTATCTACCGTGTTATAGGAGGGTTACCTGTACTCGAGATTCGTTTCTTTAGAAAACCGCGTAAAAGTTTCCTAGCTCTCGTTTGTCGACCAAACTAATCCGGGTGCGATCCGCACAGGGCATCGAACTGTTTGCGCTTCCCCGTTTTACCGGAGAGGACGAGAAGATGCCAGCCTAAACCTTTCTCGGGAACAAATAAGAAAGTTTATCGTCGCGCGGATATAAACGCTTCTCGCGACAAAGCTGCGGAAATTGTACGCTTAGAGGCACGCATTGTACGTCACTGGCTTTCTTCGAGTGGCAGACGGTTCGTGGCTTTCATCGTAAAACCGACGTATCGTACACCTATTCCTGACCCGTCTGAATGGCGTAAAGAAGATAACGCGGCCTTCTTTGTTCGAGGGAAAAAAAACCTTTGAAATTTCAAAATTTCCACGGTGTCGATGAAATTTAACTGGATATCGGGGACCACCTCGAGTCCTCCCGTATTTCCACGGTTATTCGAATTAAAGCGACATTTTCATACCGCGCAATATGTCAGGCGCGTAACTGCCGCTCGAACACTAACTCGATCGTTCTCCTACGCGCTGGTCGTCGCTACGTTCGTTTCAGAACTCCTAATCGCTTTAAAGCTGTCTACAACTAAACCGAGTCAATTATCCTGTCAACTCGCTGTTCCGAATCCTCTTACCTGATATCAATTATAGCGCTAAATTTGATAATACCTTGCGAGCTATCTGTCCCTGAACGTCCATAAAACGATTCAACATCGGGTAATATATCGTAAATACACCCTCGACGAATTCCCGTATATATCGTTATTCAACCGCTTCTCTATCTATACGTTTATTCCAGAAACGTGGAGGTTCCTTCGCCCTGAATAATCGTTAATCACCACAGTCAATGACACGAACGTCGACCGTCATCTGCTAAATGAACTTTCAGGAGCGGTTCGCTTCGATCGCCGGCCACCCAGACGGGATCGATGAAAAAGCATTCTTTCGGTTGTCGCGCCAAAAACGAGACAGCAGGACCATTCATTTCGCTCTGCTAGCCCCGACGCGGTGGTTTAATTCACCCCGACAGGAGTCTCGGTGCGGGATGCAACGCAAAAGCACGCACAGGGTAACGACGGAAATTATCGTCGTTTCGTCGTAGTCGAACGAAAATTGATTTACCCGGCGACACTGTGTAATCTTAATCGTAGACGAAGCTACAGGGAACCGCAGCGGGAGCAATCGAATTTCGGAAGATCCAACGAAATACCCCGAACGAGCTACTCCGCAATTTCTTCGCGAGGAACGAACGCGCGTAATTCCCGAACGGGAAAATCTCGAACGAGCAAAAATGGCGGCGATTGAGAAGCATTACCCGAGCTAGCGAAGTTGCGCGGAACACGGGGACGAGGCGCAAAGAAAAATCATGCATACGAGCTCTGCAATAATGGAATGCCTCCAACTTTCAGTCAATAAAGAAGTTCCGAAAACAATTTTGCAATGCAATAACCCTTCGCGCCGCGGCAATCGACAAAGTTTCGCCCGAAGCCTAGCCTCTTCCGCGTTCACGGGCCCGGAGACCTTAAAATTCAACGAGCCTCGAGGAGGATCGTTTTTCCACTTACAAACAGAGATTTCCCCCGTCCCCGGCTGTTTTCCTCCACGACCCGTTCCGCGCACGAACGAGCTTGATCGGCCGTAAAAATCAAAAGATCGCCGGGCACAATGCTCGTGCTGGCACTCGCTGCAAGATCGCCTCTGTTCCAGCCGCTTGGCGCGACAAGCTGCCGCACCCTCCACGCCTCGCGACGCCGCGAGACGCCTCGCGTGTCCGCCTTGCCTCCTTTCCACCCGAGGAGAGTGCCTAATATCACCCGGATCTGAATTACGCAATCGACGAAACGACGAACGCCGAAAGGAATGGCGAGAGTTCGCTCGGAAGAAATCGATTTCCGAATGGAACAAATTTT